CGTGGCACGAAGCACGCCGGGAGTAGGAGGTTGTCGCCGGGGAGCCTCGTCCCCAGCCTGGTCTCTAAAGACGGGTGACAGAACAGTTTAGGAGAGATGTCTTAACTAGAAGAGCTTGTTTTGCCTTTGCCTGACCTCTACACGTGGGAGCTCCTCCCTTTCCCGGGTTCTGCTCTCCTACATGCTGCGCATCCGCCTGCCTGTGTACCTGCTGCAATATTCCTCTTCCTTTTTCCTTTTTATGGCATGCATGCTGTCCCTGCCCATGGCAGGGGGGTTGGAACTAGATGATCTTTAAGGTCCCTTCCAACCCAAACCATTCTGTGATTCTATAATATACTAGGAAAGAGTTTGTGACACAGGACACTGAGAAATCTCGCAGTTTAAATTTTTTTTCAGTGGAATACACTGTACAGTTCATACCAGGAATGATAATCAGCTCCTTTTATTCTTTATTACTGCTCATAGGGAGGAGTGTGGCAGAGTGAACCGTGACAGTGACTGCTGCCTGTTTCAGCATACTAATATTTTTCCAGTTCTGGTCATTTAATGCTTTCAGGCAAATAGATGACAGGAATGTAAAAGTGTTCACAGCAGAGCTCGTCTGCTCTGAAACCTGCTCTAGTGCTGGCAAGTGCAGATGAAATGTCTAAGGCATCCTGGATCTTGAAATATTGGGAGTAAAGACTGAGTGATATTAAAGCTACTAGGAAGGTCTTGCTGAAGCACTAAATAAATAGTGCTAGTTAAGAGGATATCCAAAAGTGATCTGTTAACACATGTAAAAGTAACTGCGAAGTTGGGAGTTTTAGGACTGGGGTAAGAAATCTTATGCTGGAGGAATGTTATGCTTTCAGTTGTGTTTTAGATCACAAATTTTAGCAGAATGTTTGTAACAGGTTCTGCCAGTGAGGGGGTTTAGTGAAGAACTTGCTAATTAAAATTAATTCTCATGGGCACTCGATACAGTGTTTTGATTAGAGTTGGTGTTCGAGGAAACCAATAGGAAGTTTTACGTTGGAAACCAAAGTTTTCATGTTATTGCTTCTATAACTGTTGTTATTTTTTTTCCATGGGCTGCAGTAGATCCGAAACTAGGCATTACTCTTATTCTCCGTTTCACTCTGCAAAATTTGTGATAGTGGTTTTGTGTGTGTGCGTGTGTCAGCATTAGAATGAAGTTAATGGCTGGCTATGCTTCCTGTGACCGCTTGTGTTGCACAAGTGTTTTGAGGGCTTTAGCAGGATGAAGCTCCTCTTGGTTTAAGTGCTCTGCACCTGTGGTATTTGACTCTCATCCAAATAACTGAGAAAGGCAAAAAGGCTGATTAATTACAAGCAACGTGTCAAAGAGCGTTGTTTCCTTTACCTCTCCCTGTGTCCTGTATCTTGTCATATCGATTTCTTGTGTTCTGTGAGAGCAAAATAATCTTGTTCAGTCTAATTGTTTGCACTCAGAGGTGTGCACTCACTTCACAAATAATGGGCAATAGAAAGCTTATTTTGCATTGTGGATAGAATTTTAGCAGCTGTTGTATCATATTTTGTTCTCTTTTAATGAAGTTTTATTTCATTTTAGGGGGGAAGAGAGGGGTAGCGGGGAGGAAGGAGGAGATGCACTCTGACGCTGTTTGGGTTGGGGTTATATTTTTCAGCTGTCTGACAGTGTCATTGATCGTATGAAGGAACCGTCTTCACCCAGCGGAAGACCGCAGTCTCAGCACCGATCAGCGTCTGGTGCAGGTATGCCCACGTTTTGTTTTTTAATGAGGAGGAAAATCAAATGTGCCTTTCAGAGCATTGTAAAGAGCTCATTGCCATTTCGTAGAGATGATTTTTAGACATTAACCTTTTTGCTCATCTTCTGAAGAAGGGAGGAATTTGTAGGTCTTTGGTGAAGTTATATTACTTTTTATTTTCTTCTAACTGACATTAAAATGTAAAACACCACTGTTTATTAGACTTGGTTTTCTAAGGTATTATCCATTGTTAAAGACTTCTTTTTAAACAGACAAAGCAAATACCCATTCCAAATATGTACTGAGTTCGGAAGTGAAAATTCCTGCATACTTAATCAACACTGAATTTTAGTATAGAGAGCTTCTGTTGAGGTATAATTAAGCAAACATTAACAGAAGAATATGCTATTTTTCTGCTGTGGAGTACTGGAAATAAGTTGCATACAGCTTATACAGATCGATAGTTCAAAATGATCGCTTTCTTACCATTTTAGATTTCATTATCGAGGCCTGTTCGGATGCATCAAACAGGCTTTGTGCCAGGCAGCCTGTACTCTGATTTAAAATACTTGAGCACAGAGAACACGGTGTAGCTACTGAAGGGGTGAAAGTGAGTGGCAGAGATTGGAGCGTGTGATTTTGTTTGTCGACTGTGTGAAATCTGTAGGGTTCACATAAGGCTTCTTATCAGTGCTCCAGAAATATTCATTGTATCAGTATTCCCTAAAGGCCTTTTGCCTTGTTACTTAGAAAAAAAAAAAATCCCACCAAAACTCAACACTGATTAGAAACATGTCCTGTGGCAGTAGCGGGCTTTGCGGCAAGACTTGAATGAACAGGACGTAGTATCTTTCTTTTATCTGAAGCACAGGAAGTTGGTTTCTTCTTGCTTAACTCAAGGTGCCTATGTTGTAGGTGTCTGCGTCTGAGCTGAGCTCCCTTTAGTTAGTAGAAAGAAAATTATGTTTGGGGGACAACTCAACAGGTTTATTTGGGAATTCCAATAGAGGATGAGATGAATTGCCTTCTAGGAATACCAGGGTGAAGAGGTCGGTTGCAAGAGTCTAATGATGTCAGGCGAATCCATCACAGGATATTGTACAAAAATCTGAGCTCCCAAATGATGCTGGTTTAGGGGTTTGTTTTTCCAGTTCATGAATAGGAAGACTGGCCTAGTAAAGGCAAGGAAAATATCAATGCTAAAACTCACTTAAACTGTCACCTGGCATGTGAAATGTAGTTTGCCCAATAAAATTGCTTAGAATTTAATATGTCCTTAAGTAAGTTTTGAATGGAGTAGGGCTCTGCTTTCATGCATGGGCTGCCTGATTGTCCATATTATTTTAAGCAGTTCCCTTCTCGTTATGTATATGTATTTTACTGTGGTGATGAAATTATTCTAGGTAAAGGATTTGATGAAGTAATACTTGCACATCCTACCTACTTTCACGGTGGTGATTGTTGCTTTTTCATCCTTAAACCTGAATTACGGAAGGAGTCTTGTGAATAAGCAGCTGTGATTTTTGGGATGAGGTGACTAGACGTAGAGGCTGTAATATCCCAGTAATTCTTTGCTAAATTACAGTATGTACATGGCTGATCCTTTAGTTTGTTTCTCTCTGTGTACTGGAAATAGGGCTTTTTAAAAAAAAATGTGTATTTATTGAAAGACTTAATGATTTGCTTGACCCTTTGTAAGCTTGAAAAACCTTACGTGTATTTTTTTAGTGATTTAGGTGAAGTGCTTGTATTTCCCCGAGAAACTATAATCAGTGTTATACCTCAGTTGCTAAAATGTATTTAAAAGGATTAAATTATTCTTAAGTACATGTTACCTTACCATCCGTTCCTCTTTCAGTGAATTATTTTAACTAAGAATTGCCAACTCTTGAATTTCTTTGATGCTGTAAGAACAGTCAACCGATTGGTTTGGTTTGTAGCTACATCTGACGTGTTGGAGTCTGCGTTTGTCTGATGCGATGTCATTACAGGAAGGGCGCTCGCCTCCAAGCTAGCGCTCTGATCACTTCGTGTCAAACTGCTTTGTGCTGATGGCTGTGGGGGCTGGATCTCACATCTGGGCATCTCCTTTCTGTGATGCAGCAGTGTTGGGGTTCGGTTTCTTGGTGAAGCCTCTTGCCATTAACGAGAGATCTCTCTTCAGGCAGCAGCTCCTGTCCTGTTTATGAAGCTGGTGACAGTGGCTTGTTTCTCTGTCAGAGTGCTGCTTTTAAAGAGAGTTTTCCAAGAATGGTGGTGTTTGGAGGCTGGCTCTGGCTTTTGGATTACCAGCTGGGCAACTTTGGAACTTGACAGTTTCTTAGCCTGCATTTATATCTTTATTTTTGTAGAGAAGTGTTATTTGTCTGGAATATATAAAGAAGATGTCTAGAGGGAGAAACATTAGAGCTATTAAAAACAGCCCTTTCTTGAAGTCAAGCCTTTGATAGCTTTTGGTGGAGGAATAATGGATTAGATTACATGAAAGAATGTGTATCCTGTTGCTTGCCAATATATGATGCATTTATTGACTTCAGTTTGGGGTCGGAAAATGAAATTACATACACTTACAATGAAATCTGACATCTAAATACTACATCTTAAAGCATCGTAGCTTGCTTGGATCGCTTTCTGGCTTCTGAGTAATATTAAATGCACTAAAATATTTAACTAGTGTAAAATCTTTAAAGCATGTCTGTAATTCCTAAAGCAATATTGATGAAAAGTAATTTGGTCAGACAACGGGTACTTTTTTTTTTTCCTGAGTGTGTATTATACCTAAAGCTTTAGTCATAACAGACAAAGGGAATGGTTTAATTCATTTTAGCTTAGTGGTATCTGAAAAGCTAATAGTCTATTATAGAAAAAAAAAAGAAAGAACAAATGCTTAAATTATCAAGAGTCTCTGTGTCTCAGACAGCCATTTTTTTCCCTTTGCAGAAACAGATCACACTGAGGATAGAGAGGATTTTTCTCCTTTTTTATTTTTTTAAACAGTATTCCTTATTGTTACTATACTGTCCTCATGAAAACAAATCGGTACAGGACCTGTGTCATAAAGTACTGTTGTGTAGGCGTGTAATAAAGTGAGCTTGCTATAGCTGCCACAGAAATTGGGGTAGACCTGGCATGTTTCCAGTAGAGAAAAATACATTTCTTGGCCTTTTTCATTTGTGTGGAATAATGCCTTTTAATTGTGTACTCTGCTGTGTTGGTGTCTGACTTCTGGAAGAGTTTCAGTGCCCCAGGGCATCTTGGCTCAGTTGGAAACATGTAAATAGGTATTGTTGAGATGTCCAGGAACGAGTATTTGAAGAATTAGCTTCTGGTTGAAGATGCAAGCAGGATTTAACTGAACTTTAGGAGCAGCTTACAAAGAGAGCCAGCTGGAGGGATCACATGCGAGGTAGCTCTCAGAGATAAGCTCAGGAAAGCTGTGAGGTGTATAAGGACAATCTCTTCCTACTGCAAGAATGGCCCATTGCAGTGCTCAGAAAAATTAATAGATGTTGGGAGGCCAGTCTGGTGAAATTGGGAGAATATGGTAGAGCTTCAGTACAAAAATGAGGTCAGCAGATAAAAGAAGAGACAGACTTCAAGATGAATGGATTTGCGGATGAGGGGTGGGCAGTAGGTACCGTTTAGCTCAACTTAAAAAACACAGTCTCTCCCAGTATTCTTATCTCCGTGTTAGGATGTTGCAGTGTGGGTAACTGGATGACAAGTTGGGTTAAAAAAAACCTAGTTGGATGGTCAGGTTCAGAGGGTTGTGGTTAATGGGTCACACACTGTCTAGAGGCTGGTATCATGTGGGATTCTGCAGGAGTTGTCCTGTTTTACAGCTTTATTGATGTCATGGAGGTGGAATATGTGCTCTTCAGTGGAGATGGCTACAGATTGGAGGGACAAAGTCAATGTGTTCGAGGGCAGGGCTGCTATCCTGAGGGATCTAGACTGGCTGGAAGAATGAGCTGACAGGAACCTTATGAAATTCAGCGAGGACAAATGCAAAGTCCGGTGCTAGGGAAGGAGCAATCCCCTTGCCGTAGTGCAGGCTGGGGCCTGCCTGTCTGGGGAGTAACCCTGCTGAAAAGGAGCTGAGCACCTTGGCAGGCAGCATGCTGCCTGTGAGCCTGCCTTGTGCCCAGGTGGCAAAGGTGGCCAAGAGCATCTTGGGCTGTATGGACAGGAGCATGTCTGGTAAATAGAGGGAAGTGATTATCCTCTTCTACTCAGCACTTTACAGAACATATCTGGAATACTGCATCCAGTTTTAGGCACCTCGGCAGAAGCTGTTGATCACCTGGAACAAGTTCAGCAAAGGTCAGGGGCTGGAGTGCCTTCCCTGGGAGGAGAGGCTGAGGAAACTTGGCTTGTTCAGGGTTGAGCAGAGAAGGCTTATTGAGAACCTGGAAACACGCTCTTCTCCCAAGTGACAAGGGATAGGACAAGAGGAAATGACCTCAAGTTGCACCAGGGGAGGGTTAGGTTGGATATTATGGAAAATCCTTCCCAGATAGGGCTGTCAGGCATTGGAATGGGCTGCCCAGGGAAGTGGTGGAGTCACCATCCTAGGAGGTATTTAGAAGATGTGTAGATTTTGGTATTTAGGGACATGGTTTAGTGGTGGATTTGGCAATGTTGGGTTAATGGTTGTACTTGATGATCTTAAAGGTCTTTTCCAACCTAAATTATTCTGTGTTAGTTTGAAGAACTGCAGCATGGTGCTGGTGGTACTTGTAATTATGGACAGTCAGATGCTGCATGAAAAAAAAGCACAACTGGAATTCATCGTGATAAATGTGCGAGGCTCTGCATTGTTGCTTGTAACTTGGAGTTGTGTTTTTAATAGCATACTTGTGGTTTTGGTTTGATTTCCCTCTGACCTCTGGGGGGACGAAATAGAAGAAGTTTTTCAAAGGGACGCAGAGAGATTTGTGAGAATTTCTGATGACTTGTGATGGTCTGAAAACCCTGGAAGCCTCTAATGTCGCTGAGTTGGCG